CATTCCTTAAGAATCATATACATATGCCAAGGATCAAGTATGTGTCTCACCAGACTTCACACATGTTCCAAAGAATACATATATGTCCCGAAGGACCACATAGACCCTCGACTCTTGGCATGCCAACTATACCCCTAGCTCTCATGACACATAACATGGGCATTATCTTTTATATCCTTTTACATATTCATGTAACCATATCATATATTCATATAAGCTCATGGTTTCATTCATATATACATGTAATCACGTAGTTCATGTCAATTCTCAAATGAGTTCATATTCATATAAACATAGGATTCACCCTCATGTATCACATATACTTTCTCTTTCATATGGCTCATAACATTTCTCATGTGTTCATATGACATGTAACTCATTGTCATCTTATCATGTTATCACATAAACATATCATCTTACAATACATACAAAAACACATCAATACCTATATTCACATATACCTATCATTTCATTATCCTTATTATTATTCTTATCATCACCCTTAATCCCTTTTACTTACCATATTCATATCAATAACATATAAATCATAACAAATACATACTTCTATGAATTCATGTTTTTCATTATTAAAAATAGACTTATCGCAAGTCTTATTTTCCATTGAACCTCATATACTAAATAATGTGCACTCACATTAGCCTTGTTTGCTTTGAATCAATCTTAATTCTTAGATTGTTCCGGAACAAGCTTCATTCTATATCTACATCATAATAATACAATGCTACATATCAGTATACTAATTGATATCTTCTAAATTTTCACTTCTTAGGCTAAAAGAAAAGCACATTTCATCTTTTAATGAAGGCATGCATCGATGCACTGCACAGTGTATCGATGCATTCCCTATCGGTGCATCGATGCACTACCTGTGCATCGGTGCATAAAATACATTCGATGTTTGTTTATTACTGGGATGCATCGATGTATGCCTTATGCATCGATGCACTAATTGCATTCGATGTTTTTAGATTAAAATAGTGCATCGATGCACTACCTGTGCATCGATACACCTTCAAACAATTTCTGGGTTTTAACCTTGATGCATTGGTGCACTATGAATATGCATCGATGCACTCTGCCCATAATCCTCTTTTTGAACCCAAAAATTCATTCTTTTTGGATTAAATCCTTCATATTTCAACCCCTTTCATATTCCTAACTTACATATACATACTTAAACTCATTAATATTCATTTATCTCATCTTTAATCTTAATATCCTTCCTCTTTAGGAATTTCAAGAATCATACCCTATTTTCCACATGTTTCAAATCTAATTCTAACACTTAATACTTCTTAATTAAGCTGATGACAAGTCAAATTTATCTTCAAGTTCAACTTATCAACTCCATTCTGGAAATTCACTCAAGAACTCCAAATCTTTAATCTTCCCTAACTCATTTATCTTTTGATTTTAAGATAACTTAAGCTTAAGTATCACCTAAGAATCATAACCCAACTTTTAATTCAATAAATAACCAACTAATTAAGAAACTCACCATTGAGCTGGAGCTTCACGCACAAAGAAGAAAGGAGGAGAAGAAAACTCTGGAAACTCATTTCCCTCATTTCCCACGTTTTTATATCCCCTAAAAGAGAAATAAAAATCTTCTCTTAGAAAAGACCATAATACCCTTATTACTTTCAAACTTTACTATTAAATCAAACCTCAAAATTCTCCAATTAAAATTATGAACTTTTAACTTATTTCGAAATTGAACACAATGCTTTCAAAATTCACCTTTAGGTCACTAGCCTGATATTGAGGATGTTACAACATTTCCCAACAATCACACGTAAATTGAGTTTCTGTTGACATTGTTACATCTCACCTATGTCGCACCATTGATCGAAACATCGAGTTGGTAAGTCAAATCTTCCAAAGTATTCGTCGCTTCACCACTATGAAATTGAAATGCATGAGTTTTGGGTCTCCAACATTCAATCAAACCCCGAAATTAGTACAAGCATCACCCTAAAACCACAAAGAAATATTATAGGATATAATCCAGATTGTCGTAGATAAATAACAATTCAATCACGTGGCTCATCACTTTTTATTCGTTGGTTACGAATGCTTCATTCTTCTTCCTACAATTTAACTTTTACTTAATTAATAAATTTTTCAAAATAACAACATTAATATAATAATTTAAAATTTTATAAATGAGAAGAAAATTAATTTACCATACTGAGTTCAAGCGAAGAAACATGGACTTCATCAAGACGTAGCATATATTCTTGGGTAGACATTTTATCACAAACTCTTCAAAAAATAAAAATAAAAATTGTCTCAATCAATTTTTTTTCTTCTCAACAAATAACAATACATTCCTTAAACCCTAAAGCTCCTATTTATACAACAAATCCAGTGGCCGTAAACATCTAGTCTGTTGGAATTCGATCGTTGGAATTTGTCTCCTGCCCAATGTTCAGTAACAACTACTCTGTTCAAATTCAAAAAGAACTCGTCACCCCACATGACAAATTTCTCTTCTTTTAATTAAAAGATGTTAATATATTTTAATTAAAATATATTATTTTAATTAATTTAAAAAAATTAATAAACAATTCGATTTCATGGGACTCCACACATGGGCCCATTAATTAATAATATTCGGACAAATTCGTCACGAGAGGATGACGAGTTCTCTCTATATCGTAAAAAATACCATAGAATGCAAAATAATGTTGGGAATAGTCTATTGGGTCAAATAATTAATCTGCTTGGATTATTGGCCTAGTCTTACTGCATCCTTACTATTTTAGCAGATGTGACTTAATATATTAAAATTAATGAATAATGTTTTATTTGTTCATTTAATTTTAACTTAATTAAATAAAATTTTAATTATTTTTTTTTTAAAAATTTTACGATTAATTAGATTTTTAAATTAAAAATAATCAATTTTATGTGACGACGTGGTAGCTTGAAACCAGCAGAAGCAAACAAAGGTCTTTCCCCAGTCACTTGCGTTAAGGTGCAGTACGTTTTATTTGTTTAGTATTAGTACCGTTGAGTATGGAATCAATACCTTGAAACTAGTAGATAACTTTTGTGCTTTTTAATAATTGTGTGATTCAATAATAAGGTTTAATATAAAATAAGTGTCTAAATTATATCTTTTTTTTTTGAATTAAAGGAAGACTATTATAATGAAATACTAGGAGCGAGTAAAAGCAGGACCATGAAGGTCTCGAGCAAGATGAGGTATTATCTCCTGGGGAAGTTCAATGTATATGCATGGTTGATCATTTGAAACGACGATAGATTTTGCAAGGAAGTCTGCTACAGCGTTGGCTTCACGAGTATGAGAATGAAATCAACATTCCATTGTTTTGAAATAAGGCTCGCGATAGATCTGACAATAGACACTGGGCTGGATGCGGCTGTTGAAGAAGTCACAAGTGTTAGAGCTTCTGCACAGTCCGTTTGGCATTGGAGGTGCTCGAGTCTTTGGGACCACGCTAATTGAAGTCCTTCAAGAATCCCCAGAGTTTAGCTTATAATGGGGAAGAAATACCAACCGCTATTAAATCCGACAATCCAATCTCCATCCTTGTTCCGGATGATGCCACCTGCCGATCCTAGAGAGGAAGTATGATGAACTGCACCATCCGTGTTGAGCGTAAACCAGCCAGCAGGCGCTGGTCGTCATTGAATAAGTTCCGGCGAGGAAAAGCATACCGGTCGAGGAATCAGGCGTCGTAGGGATGAAATAATTAGCCCAGTTTTGCTGTGGTTGAGTAATTGATCATTAGATGGACAGATTGGAGATATGGATGAATTTCTTCGCTTCCAGATCTGCCACGCTAGGAAGCAAATAAAGTTTTCCAAGGGATTTTTAAACCTGCAAAAAGTCGATTGGAATCAAGATTCATCATAAGTCATTCATTAGTTCATAGAGTGAAGAAATCCTGAAATTGCTGTTGTCGAATGATCAATTGCCAAAGAGAAGCAGTTTGTTTGCAATCTCGCAACACATGCAACAAAGTTTCATTAGCTGATCCACATATTTGACATAGAGGATCATCGGTAAGGTTACGCGCACATCGATTGACATTCGTTAGTAATCGATCTCGATAGGAAATCCAAAGGAAGTGCTTGATACGCTCCGGGATAGGAAGACGCCAGAGCTTAATCCATTTAACGTCTGTAGGATTCCAAAGTTCTTTAGTAATAAGGTTATAAGCGGATTTCACGGAGAATTCACCATTCTTGCCATGAAACCAGGAACAACGATCAGTGCCAGCATTGGGATTAGGGGGCTGGACATTCAAAATATGTTGGAATGTGGAAGGCTGAAGAGTCTGTCGAATGAAGTTCCAGTTCCAGCTACTGTTCGATTGGGAAATATCACAAACCATCAAGTTATCTTCAATAGTGATGCTCTCTTGCTTCCAGTTAGAGAGACGTCCAAGTTTCGGCAGCCAATTATCGTGCCAAAATCTTGTAGAAGCACCATCACCTACGGACCAAGAGATGAAACTATGGAAATTATCTCAGACCTTGGATAGAGACATCCACAAATGAGAGCAATTCAGCCGCATGATGGAAGGTGGGCACATAGATGTCACCTTATATTTTTGTCGAAGTAATTTTATGAAGTATGTCTCTGTGTTCGAAGCAACTGCAAAACAAAGCTTCATTAGGAAAGGCCGAATTATGTTGCTGTAACCTCCTGATGCCGAGACCTCCATTGTGTCTAGGTTGAAATAAGACGTCCCAACTAACGATAGGAATGCCACGAGATTGGTCGTTAGAAGTCCATATGACCGTAAAGGATGTGTCACCATCCCTTCCTCGGATCAAGACTTCAGCAAAGTAGTTTTTAACTCAGGACTACATGATATGGGATACCAAGGACCAGACTTCACCTGGTATAGAAGAGATCCTGTGCAGTTCGTCTTGATCGTTGCTTATGCAATGATAAATGGCTTCTATCCTATCCCGATACGCTGGTTTATCATCTCCTTCGGATGAAGTCTGATCACAGGCCTCTTTTGCTAACTATTGGTAAGAATCCTAATAGACCGCAACAACGCCTCTTTCGTTACTTTGCTGGTTGGACCCTTCACAAAGACTTTCATAAGTTTGTGAATGATAATTGGGATTCTTCTCTCTCAATAACGGATGCTATCTCCAAGTTTACTGTTGCTGCTAATAATTGGAACCACTCTATTTTTGGTCAGCTCTCATATCGGAAGCGCAATGTTATGGCTCGGCTCAAGGTCATCCAACGCTATCTCGATAAAAATCGAAGTTCCTACCTGTCCAGGCTCGAGACTAAACTTCAAACTGAGCTGGAATTAATCCTCGACCAGGAAGAAATCCTATGGAAACAAAAATCCCGATCGGACTGGATTAACTTTGGCGATAGGAATACGACTTACTTCCATAAAAAAGCCATTATTAACAAAAGGATTAACCGAATTTACTCTCTCCAAATTTCCACTGGTGATTGGTGTTCAGACACGAATGTTCTTCGGCAAGAAACCAGTGCTTACTTCCAGAAATTGTTTTCCCTTGATGATGAGGTGCATGAAACTTTTCCCATCTCTGGTTTATATCTTTTTTTATTTAAGTGTATAAATTATTTTTCGATCAATTCAAGTACTTAATATTTTAACGTTACACTTTTGATTGTCTAGGTCGTCACCTCCGTTAATAAATTTCATTAAGTGACACGCGTCTCGCTCTTGTAATTTAAAAAAAATTACTTTAAAAAACTTAAAAAATATTATTATATTTAAAAAATAAAACTTGTCTATTTTACTTAAAATGTCATATATTTCATAAACCTTAATTTCCTATTTGGACGGTAACAAAGGGGTGGCCAGAAGTATAATTTGACGACTAATGGGTGGGTTCTGATAAAAACACAACGGTGGTTGAGTGTTGCTAGGTACGAGACGTAAAGGAAAAGAAGATGAATCGACGATGAGTGATGTTGTAACGATGATCAGAGCATTGTTGAGGCTTGTCTCTATTATTGTCGGCGATGATACTTTTTTTTCGCCACTGGACTCACTGAAAATGACTCCAGTCAATCAAATATTAATATGTGGTGAAATTAGAGATTCAAGGAGTTATTTTTTTGTATTTTAGGGAAAATAGAATTTTTTGGATATATATATATATATATATATATATATATATTTAAAATTAACAAAATATGACACATGTCATTTAATGATTTTTTAGGGTTGTTACAGTTGGGACACTTAAAATGATAATGTTTGTAACATTGAACACCTTGATTGACCGAAAAATAATTTAAACGTCTAAATAAGAAAAATGATATAATTTAGACACTTATTTTTATATTAAACCGAATAATAATATTAAACCTTTTAGTTGAAGTGTTTTACCTGAAGTAAATATGTCGATGAGTCCACCAACTTACCTCACTGGTTAAAAGAATCATTATTGTTTCTAGAAGTCATATATTAGAGCACCAGAGGCTGCAGTAGATTGATTGAGCATTCATTGTCAAATGACTGAGAATAGTTAGAACAGATACTACTTTATAATCACCTTAGCTTAATAAAAAATTATTTAATATTTTAGACACAAAGTGAATGCAATAAAATATTTTTAATAATTTATCAAGTCTCATTCAAAGTTTTTTTTTCTTCCTATTTTTCTAATTAGAGTTAATCATTTATGAAAAAAGAAATTATGAAAACAAGACTTAATATAAAAAGTGTTTAAATTATATTATTTTTCTTAAATAGGTGTATAAACTTTTTTTCGGTTAATCCAGTTGTTTAACGTTACAAACATTATCATTTTAGATATCACGGCCGCAGCTATGGTTAAAAATCTCCGTTAAAGGATATATGTCACATTTATATAATTTTAGAAATTTTATTTAAAAATTTAAAAATTACAAAAAAAACTCATTTTTTTTAAATAAAAATAAATAAAATCATAAATTTCAAATCCTATTTCTCACTGACCATTTTCGATTATCTCTGACCATCGTCTCTATTATTACCTACTTAATGACTTCATGTTTATTGTCATAGTAAACCTTTAAATTTCTAACCCTAAATTTAATGGGAGGATTTGGTCATTCATGCGACGAGGGGAGTGAATTCACTTTCACTGCAGCAGGGGGAGTGAATTTTTATTCATGCAACGGGTTTGGGTGGTGAAATTAGAGCACCATGCCTGATTAATGGGTCGATATGGCTACGAGCAATGTTTTGGAGGTCTTAAACGAACATAAATTCATTTTTAAAATTGTAATAGTTTAAATCTAACTTTTAAACTATTGTTGCAGACAATTAATTTGTTTTGGAGTGAATTTTCATTCACTGCAGCGGGAGGGGTCAGTGAATTTTGCATTCACTGCAGCTGCACACGAGGGGGAGGGAGGAGGAGAGAAGGGAGACGAGAAAATTATCTTTCTTCAATAAATGATTTTTTTAAAATAATATTTTTATTTTAAAATTAAATAAATTTCTAAAAAATATAAACATAAATAACAAGTGTCATTTAAAAGATTTTTTAATGTTTATTATTATTATGACTCGAACACTTAAAAGTGATAACGTTTGTATTTTAATTAACAAAATAATGTTTAAACATTTATTTAAAATAAACGATATAATTTATGTACTTTTATATTAAAAAAGAAAAATGTTTACGTCACCTACCGGTTAACTTAACTCATAAAAATTGTGGGCTTTTGACAAATTGGTTACGGAAGCTTATCATAAGTATCGTCGATTAGGTCAAATTAATCAACGTTCGTTTTCATCGGTGGCTGGTGGGGCCCTTCTTCTTTATTTTTTGTTTCCTGAGGTTCAAATTAAATTAACAATCGACAGAAAAATCTCTCTCTATATATATGGATATATTATACTCTTACAATTAAATTAACAATCGACAGAAAAATCTCTCTCTATATATATGGATATATTATACTCTTACTCACTAAACTTTACTTTATATCCTATTTCACTCACTGTACTTTTAATTTTTTCAATTTTCTCATTATACTTTAGACATTGAACTTTTTTTTGTCACTAGACCGTTAAATTTCTAACACCGATAAATTAAAATTGAAAAAATTAAAAGCACATTATACTTTAATAATAAAACATTGAACTTTAGACATTATTTTTTTTGTCACTCGATTGTTTACTTAGTAACAGTGTGCTCACGTGACTTATTTTAATAATAAAACATGTGACATGTTTACTCATTAAACTTTACTCTCTCTCCTATCTCACTCAATATGATTTTAATTTTTTCAATTTTAATTTACAGGTTTTATAAATTTAACGGTCGAGTGACTAAAAAAGTTTAATGTCTAAATTTTAGTGAGTAAATTAAAAAAAATTGAAAGATGGTAAGTGAAATAGGAGAGGGTGTAAAGTTCAGTGAGTAAGAGTGTAATTTACCATATATATATGCAAAGACGTAAACATCATCTTACCAATTTCAAGCCAATCACAGAAAGACAAATTTCATTTTCGTTCTTTCGTAAAGTTATTCTTTATCTTTAAATAATTAATAATTTAATATTAGTCACGAAAAAAAAGTTTAACTGTGAAATTAAGTAGACTCGTCATTCACGAAAGCGAACGTGGGACCGTGGTTATGATGATCGGACGATGGAGATAGATAACCATTTCAACGTGACAAAGATCTATGGCGCGGAAGGGAAACAACTGGCAATATAGCGATTTCATTTTCGAAACGTGGACGTGCCATCATCCTTATCAGGCACGCGATTAAATACAGTTATATATATATATTGGATCATACTAACTCTAACTCTATTCCGAATAGTTTTCTTAAGCCAATGGTGGCGCCAGTTGTCCAGTAAATAGACTTGAAGTTTGTTTGGTAATGTTTTTAGAAAGCATTTTTAATAAAAAAAAATCTGTTTTGATGGTAACATTAATGTTAAACGAGTAATAAATATAAAAAAATTATGATAGAAACGATGATTTTAAACTAACTTTAAAAGCTATGATTTTTAGTTTTTTTTTTTATTTTGCGTTTGGAAATAAATTATAATTTTATTCTTACTAATACATGGACTCCATACGATTATGTATTTATATTTTATTTTAATAATTTAATATTAACATCCTTAAAATAGTAATTTATTAATTTTAATAATTTATTTTAATTATTTAAAAATTATGATATATATATTAAAATATTAATAGTGAGTTAAATAAAATACATTTTTATTATAAAATTATTTTTATTTATATTTTTTATAGTTTAAATTGATATAGTTCATATATAATATTTTTTTAAAAATTTATTATAGTTTAATATGTTTCATATATAAGTGTAAATATAATTTAAATGTTATATTTTTAATTTACAATATAATATCTATAATGGACATTTTATTTTTCAAATTCATATTTTAACAATAATCCAAAACAATTAAATTTTAAAACTGTACGTTTTACATCACTTTTAAAAATTTATTTCTACAACACTTAAAAGTCAATTTTCAAAAGTTATACTAAACGGGTCATTAAGAGTAGAAAGGAAGATTACAAGGTACAATAGTGGATCCAAGAGAGTATGTGCTTGCCAAATTTGTGGAGCATATTAAAGTACATCCCTCGTTATGTTATTAAAAATTATATTAAAGATAAAAATAGTATATTTATATGAATATATGTTTATTTATATGCAAAGAAATATTCGGTGGAGTCCGCTTGCCCATATAAAGTGTTGTGGTGAATAAGCTTGGAAGTGATGGTTGATAAACAAATGTACTTGTTAGACAAGTTATACCAAATTTTTAATAGTTTGATGACTCAATAAAAAAAAATCTTATAGTCGAGAGACCATTTATATACTTTATCTAAAATTTTAATACATTTTTAATGGGTATGCAAATTAGTTTTTTTTTTATCTCCTCTTAACACACAATACTAAATTTAATAGCTTTCCCAAAACAATAGATATGTTATTATTCGGCAAAAATTTCGAGATAATGTTCTGAAAGAAATTAATTCACGAGCTAATGCACTCCCAAGATTAATTGCTCAAATAGGGTGAAATCCACAGTGTTGGCCGTAGGTCGCCATGCACTCCGGGCGACCTACCCTTGCTCAAACAGAGAGAATGAACGTGTTGCATGGCACATGCACGTCCCAACACATAGGTCGCCATGCCCTCCGGGCGACCTTGTATGTCGCCATGCCCTCCGGGCGACCTTGTAGATCGCCATGCCCTCTGGGCGACCTACCCTCGCTCGGCTTCCCTCGGATTCCCTCGCATAGCTCGCTCGGTTGCCCTCGGATGCCCTCGCATAGCTCGTTCGGATGGCCTCGGATGCTCTCGGATGGCCTCGGCCGGATGGCCTCGGCCGGATGGCCTCGGATGCCCAGCGTGTTGGGACGTGCATGGCACATGCAATCTCTTGTAGCTCGCCGGGAAGACATGGCGACCTAGTAGGTCGCCCGGAAGGCATGGCGACCTACGGCCAACACTGTGGATTTCACCTTATTTGAGCAATTAATCTTGGGAGTGCTTTATCTCGTGAATTAATTTTTTTCAGAACATTATCTCGAAAGTTTTGCCGTTATTATTCACTTCCAATATGTTGCATACAATCGTACTTACATTAAATATACTTAGGTTCCGTTTGGTGTGACTTTCTAAAATCACTTGTAGCTAATAAGTCTGTTTTGACTGCAAAATCAATGTCAAACGAGTAAAAAAAAAATCATGGTGGAAACGATGGTTTCAAACCAACCGTAAAAGCTAGGATTTATAGTTTTTTCATTTTTTAAATTTGCGTTTGAAAGCAAATTATAATTTCACCCTAACTAATGCATGAACTCCACTCGATTATGTATTTATATTTTATTTTAATGATTGAATACTAACATCCTTAAAAATAATTTATTTTATTTACTTGAAAGTAAATAAAATTCATGATTTATATATTAAAATGTTAACAGTAAGTTATTATAAAATATATTTTCATTATTATTATATTTTTTATTTGTAATTTTTATATTTTTATTATTGTTTAAATTGATATATTTTATATATAATAATAATTTATTTTGAATTTATTTATAATATATTTTTTTATTTTTAAATGGTTAAAAGGATAAATATATCATTTAAATTATGTTATTTTAAATTTTAAACGAGTGATTGTGGTTGAATTGGAATAATTAGACATCCCCATCTAGTTATGAGATGGAATTAATGAGAGATAACACAGCTTCTAGTTTAATAAATTCACTTTAATTTGCAAGTACTAATATTTTTTTATGTTATTCTTTTTGTCAAAACAAGTATTTAAATTATTATTTCATAATAAATTTTATATCTACATGTTAAAAAGTATTGATAACATAATGACAATCTTTTATCCCTTTTCTGGTATTTGGTAACTTTATAAATCCATGTATAATTTTTAGAATATATTCTGATTTTTGTTTTGTGAGAGTCCAAGGATAGAGTCATTATATTCCATTTCAGCAATCTGTGGCAAAAGCTTTGCCACTTCATTCCCCTTTCCACATCTTATCTTAAAGTTTACATAAATAGCTAATTGGAATTTCACGTTGAAAAATATGGCTGCCCCTTTTCTATTAATCATTCCCACTCATCATTGCGAGATGCAAGGCAATCATTACCTTGTCATTTCCTATAAATACTTTTCATAATATAAGATAATCATAAGATTATATCTATTTATAAATGTTCATTTATTAAATATAAAAGACAAATCAACAACTAATCAGGTCTAAAATCGTCTGCAGCAACCTGGTGTGCAGTATCTTCATCCCCGAATCTGCATTATTTAGTGATTAAACGTGGTATGATTAAAAAATAGTTATAACATTATTTAAAAAAGTAATTATAATATAATTTTTATATAAATATATAATGTTTTAGACACGATGGTCGTTATGACCGGTTCAAACATCAAGTAAAAGGTCTAATAATAATCAAGTTCAAGACCAAATATAATAGATAGGTATTAGCACTCCTAAAGGGATCTCTTCGCAATCTTAATCTCTATTTTCTGCATTATTTTTATCAAGTTCCTTTTTTTTCATTATCTCCGTAATCATGAATTGTTTTAGTAATTTAAATTCTATAAAAACATCTTAGAGCATAAGTTACGGCGTCTCGTAACTCATCTTCATGTTGCAAAAACCGGATAACATCTAGTCCACCTTCAAATCTAGAATTCAATTGATTATTTTTTAAAAATAAATTTAAAAATTAGAATCTTTAAATTTCGTGAACACTTGCCGCATTCTCATATTGCATACTTCTTTTTTCTCTGTGAAAACAAATCAGTCTCAAATTCGTTTGATATGTTTCAAGCATTACTGTCGAAATACTTCAGGAAAAAAAATTTCTTTCACCTTGTCTGTGTGAATTGTGAATGGTTTACCATTATTATTTTAATTCACAAACAGCCACAGCTGAAATTTTATGTAACAAATAAATATATTTGCTATATAAAGATACAGAAAATTGATTATAATGGAAAATTCCGAATTGTTGGACAGATTTTGTGTGGATTTGTTGAGTGATGTAGCGTAGTGTATCGGGAAAATGGCGCGGTCCACTTAGCAATTGACTGTTGTTCAATTAAAAGAATATATGGGCTTTTAAGCTGGTCGGTCTCATTAACATTTGGGCTCGGGCTTATACTAATGGGAAAAAGGCATGCAGGGCATTAATGATTTAAGTCTTTACCCCTCGCAATAACTGCCGCACGCATGATTTTTCTTTTATTTTGAAATTATTTACAAAATTAGCGGAATATTGTGATGATATTTCAAAAAAAAAGGGTCACATAAAATTATTTAAGGAAACCTGCTGATTGTTGATATTTTTTTTTATGTTATTTCATAATTTTGAGATCAATTATTCAAATGGTAAGAAAATAAAACAAATAATCTCAAAATTATTTTGAGATCAATTTTTCAAACGTTCCTTTACTGATGATCCGTCATGCAGATGTTGTAATGCCCCTCAAGAATCTACAATCCATGTTCTTCGAGATTGCCCCCAAGCTCGTTCCCTTTGAAAACGTGTTGTTCCTTCAACTCATATGACTTTTCATCAGACATTGAAACATGTAGGCCCGTAAATGAACTGAACGTTCAGCGAACCGTTCATGAATCGTGCGGCGGGAAGTTCGTTTATGTGCGTTTATTTATTAAATGAACGAACATGAACAAGATTTTATGTTCGTTTAATTAAATGAACGAACATGAACATAGGTCTCGTTCGTTCATTTACGTTCGTGAACGTTCGGTTATGTTCGTTCGTTTATGTTCGTTCGGTTATGTTCGTTCATTTATGTTTAACTCAATCTTCTTAAATCAATTTTGGTGACCAATTTGTAAGTATCTTAAAAATATTAATTAATATGATATTCTGATTCATTTTTCCTTTTTTTCCCCAAACCCTAGTGTTCACTAGAGAGTGGAGACGATCGCTGAAAGCTTCAAAACAAGTTATATTATAGTACAATATGAAGTTTTACAGGTATGTTTTCATATCTTTCTCTGTTTTATTTGGTTTAATAGTTTATATGTAAAGTTATTGCGGGTATCTTCACATCTAAAACTCAAGAAAACATCATACTTCTTTCTAGAAATAGATGGGAAGATAAAGGTAACAATCGAAAGTATATGAGCATCAGTAAAAAGGAAAATATATAGAATTTGTCAGAAAACAAAACAAAGGTTTCTATGCAATTTCTGAAAAGGAATGTAATAGCGGAAGTAATGAGTTTTCTAGGAAGAACTCATTAATAAGTAGAAAATACACTTTGACAATGAAATTTTATTTTCATAGTTCTTATGTGACCTTTAGTCGTGGAATAGACTTTAGGTATGTTAAAATTTTGAATGGTGGTTTAGCAATAATATCAGTTACGATATGTAGCATCTAAGGGATTTCGGATCTATGTTATTGCCTTGTAGTCCAATTTGTACCGTTCGAAATTTTCATGCGGTTAAATTTTCTACTCTGCCAACGGAAAGGACCATTATTAACAAACCTCACTAAAGTCTGACATTGATGTCACAAAACTTTTAGCCGGCGAATTTATTAGAATAACGTAATGGAAAATGATTGTTCATATGTAATCATGGACCACTAAAATAAATGTTATATCGTTAAATTAAAGTCGTGTGAATCATTTAATACCTTTAAAAGATCGATCGAAATATTTGATATCTTCAAATATTTTCATCACTGCTAATCAGCTCTTACGCTATTTATCACTGTAGATTTAGTTGATTTGCATTGTCGACTATTTTTTATGAAAGAATAATGGAAGATAGGGTCTCCAACGTTTATGTTCGTGTTCATTTATGTTCGTGTTCGTTTATATTCGTTTATTTAACATGAACAAGTTATATTCCTTAATAAACGAAAATGAACAAAAAAAAATTTGTTCGTTTATGTTCGTGTTCATTTATAACGAACATGAACATACCTCCGTTCGTGTGCGTTTTGTTCTTCTTTGGCTTGGCATATACGGAAAAATCTAAATGATCAAGTTTTTACAACTCCTTGCCCCTCCACCCCCCCCCCTCTTTTCACTCGGTTTTCACTCATAGTATCGCGTGGGCGAAGTCCTTCTATGGCTGCAAACAAATTGCAGGCCCCGTGCGTGAGAAAGGATTTGCGACTTTTCAATGGCATAACCCACCCGCTAGTTGGTGTTGCCTTAATGTAGGTGGCGCTATCTCCACTACTTTGAGTTCTGCTTCTATTGGTGGTGCTATCTGTGACTCCGTCGGTAATTGGGTAGTTGGTTTCCACGTAACTATCGACATTACAACACCCTTACAAGCAGAACTTTAGGCTCCGTTAATCGGCTTGGAAGTAGCTTGGACTCACGGTTTCGAGTTACTCATGGTTCAATCTGATAGTGCTGATGTTGTGAAGCTTATTATCGATCCTCACTGCTCGACGAGTTCCCATGCACGGATGCACTCCATCCATCAAATACGTCAACGATGTTGGATGTCATTTGAGTGCCCCGAGAAACCAATATGCTTGCAGATGGAATTGCCAAACTAAGCCCGTCTTTTCCGTAGGAGACTGTGATCCATTCTTCGCCACCATCGTTCCTACAGACTACTCTCATCAGAGATGTAATGAGTCCTCACTGTATAACAATCATCGCTTAGCTCCCTTGGCCTTTTATTAAAAAAAGTATAGGACCAATTTTTTTTAGACAATTTAAAGTAAAACTATACATTTAGCTTTTTATAAACATAATATTTTTTATTTTTAACGTATTGTTGATATTGTTAAAGTCGGTGGGAACTGTCCGCGAGTTTATTTTGATTACAATTGTATTTTGCACATATGGTCCAAAATTAAAAAATTAATTACAAAAATTAGAAATAAATTTTTTATAAATTTTACAAAAAAAATCATGTATATCAAATCCTTATAAATAATAATATATTTAAGTAAAAAAATTGAAGTTTTAAGTATACCATGTTAAAGAAAAACGAAGTAAGATTTAAAATTACAATAAAACTCTACAAAATGAAAATTCTTCTACTCAGGTGGAAGAAAGATTAAGTGCCGGAGGTTTGGGAGATGTCAAGACTAAGTTTTTGGGAGGGAGAGATTTCCTAATAGAAATTGTTGATGAAGAGCTGTATAGGATCATGAAGGAGAATAAACGGTCGCTTTTACTTGAAGTATTTTTGGAAGTTCATCCATGGACAGAATCTTACAGAGCGTCCGAAAGAGTAACCTAGATTAAATTAATCGGTGTGTCGTTACATTGTTGGAATCATAACACATTTAAAAGGATAGCCGAGCAATGGGGTGATGTTTTAGCGATGGGTGAAAATGCTCTTCAGGAATTGGGATGTGAGGAGATGAAGATTCTGATAGCAACAAGCAAAAAGGACTTGATAGATGAAGTGCTTGATTTGGAAGCAGGAAGGGATGTTTTTAAAATTAGAGTTGTGGAACAGTCCACTAACAGAAGCGAAACAAGAAGTTGTAAGCAAGAAGTAGAAGTTAATTTAGACACTTTTGAATCGAGCTCGTCGGCAGGAAGGAGCACAGATTCATCGGAGGAGAAGAACTCAGAGAGGTGGCAAGAGGAAGATGATAGCCAGTTATGTTGCATGGCGAACATATCAAAAGGCGGCTTATTTTCGGGCCTGGATGGGGAAGAGAGAAATATAGGGGAGGAAGCTATATTGGGTCAGAGGGTGAATGATGTTAGTTCTGGGAAATCACAAAAGCAATATGAGGCGGAGGTGGATCACGAGGGGGTAGTGGCAGAAGATGACAGCAGATGGTGGTGGATGCTAATGAAAGATTAAGTGAAAATTTAAATGACTTGTCTCTATGGGAAGGGTGTTTAGGGTCAAAGGCGGTTGAGGATACGGACTATATGGGCCTTATGAACATATCACCTAAAGAAGGATCCAATGGAATAGAAGACCAATTGGATGGGATTTCGGGAGAACTGAAGGGAAGTAAGCCCAACTTGGGGTGAGAGGATAAAGCACGGGAGCAGGGGACGTTTATGATTACAAATTTGAGCGATGATTCTTTAATGCCCAAACCCAAGCTACACGTTAGTCTGAAGGCGGGAAAAAAATAAGAAATACAGGTCCCTTCAAAGAATACAAGAAAATTACAGTGATTCCCAGAGAAAAAATAGAAATTGACGTGTGAAGAAAATACAAAGAGAGGAAGAGTCCACTGAACTCGAAGGCAGGTCCTTGTCTGACTCGGATCTTCAAGAACGATGGCAGACACAAAAGTTGGAAGCTAAGAAAACTTTACAGATCGACAGAGAGCTGGCCATACAATTTAAAGGTTCAGAGGAGGCTTTGGTTAGAGAAATTTTAGCTGCAGATGATTTTGAAGGAGAATCCCAATCTCTATATATCCATAGAATTCTAGCCGTTAATCAGAGGGGGAGGAGTCCAGATGCGGATTTTGTCTTGGAACTCAAGAGGTATGGGTTCTAATGTGAAAATTTCAGAACTTAGGAGGGTTATTCGGATTCATAGAATTGAAATTGCGATGTTACAAGAAACTAAGAAGGAGAATTTTACGGATACAGAGATAAGTAGCTTTTGGTGTGATGATGACTTTGAATTCAGATTTTCTAAAGCAAAGGGTAAATCTGGGGGTATTTTGCCTGTATGGGATAAGAGTAGATTTCAGGTTCTTAATAGCTTAATTACAGACAGATTTATTTTGATAGAAGGGAAGAACACTGCAGACGATTCAATATGTTATGTTATGTTATGAACTTTTATGCACCTTGTGAAGTTTTCGAACAAGTTACATTATGGAATGCGATTGTAGAAGTTAGAAGGGGCTTTATGGAGATCAGTTATATGTCACAAATACGGTTCAGGCGATCTGCCTTGGTTGGTTAATCATGAAGAAATAAAAAAAACCTCAATAACATGGAGAGGGATCGTTAATAATTTGTCTAGTGAAGGAACAGGAGTGGAGACTCATTTCGATGGATAGTGGGCGATGGGAAATCAACACTGTTTTGGGAGGATGTGTGGTATGGAGAAAGTGTTCTAAGATCAAGATACCCTCGTTTATACACACTACGACAAATTTGTTTATTTTTACGTTGAAAATATTGTCATTGATACTTACATTAATGTCACTATTTGTATTTTGTGACATAAAATTCAATGTCACGACGATCTTCACCCTAGGTGTGTCACTAAATATCTAATGTGACGTTGGATCTTTTTATCATCACGCATTGTTAAACATATAGTGACATTTATGTATAACGTTACCTTATCATTTAAATTCAGTGACATTTACTTGTGTCACTAAATAAAATAAAATTTTATCATTAATTATTTATATTGTCGCTAATAATATTAAAGTTTACTGTATAAATGACAAAACAATATCATCACAATTTTTTATGTAAATTTCTAAAATAAAAATTATTAAAATAAAAATTATAAAATTACAATAAAATTTTAAATATTTATATAAATTACAATAAAAATCAATTTTTAATATTACAATAAATACCAAAACTATTTATAAATTACAATCAATTTTTAATAAAATCGTTCACTACTGAATAAATGGATCTTGAGATTTGAGCTCGAACCCGATAACTTTTGAAGGAAAATAGTGATCATAAAATCCGGGTATGAACAATTCGCATTGCTACCAAAATCAGTCAGTTCGAGAAAAGTTTCTTGGGCATGACACAATATTATGTACCCGCTTAACAGGCCTGATGATATTTTTATGAGTAATATTTGATGTGTGGTTGGTGATGGTAGTATAATAGATTTTTGGGATGATCACTAGACTAGGGTCACTTCGCTCGTATTATCTTTTCTGATGATCTATAGCGTCGCTAAAAAAATCAGGTAAAGTTTTTTATTTTAGATCTAAGGTAAATGGGGAGTGGGTGTGGAATATTACTATTAAAAGGGTCTTATTTGAATAGGAGTTAAGAATATGAAATGAGTTCATAAACACTTTGAATAGAGCAGTTCGGGGCTGCTTAGCATTGGATAATCTGTGATGGGTTGGTTCGTCAAAGGTCTAGGCATTCATTTGGAGAGTTATATTACAACGAATTCCTACTCTAGTTAACTTAACAAATCGAGGGGTCGATAGTATGGTTTCTTGTATTTGTGTGTTATGTCGTAAGGAGCAGGAGACAGTTAATCATTTGTTTGGTCATTGTGAGGCTATTTGGAGGATTTGGTAAAGATGGTGTTTGCTTTGAAATCTTAATTTTGTTTGTCCAGGTAATACAAAAGCTTTCCTGTTTGTCTACGTTGGGCTCTTGAGTTTCAAATCATGCAAGTCAATCTGGAATTTGGCTTATTTTAGAATTATTCAGACTATTTGACTGTGTAGAAATGATGCCTTGTTTGACATTAGAAGCTAAGCTGTAGCGAAGACCACATTTTTGAACTGACATTGTTGAGGATTGATTTTTAGAGTAAAAGCTATGATCCCTCTCGTATCCCTCGATATTTGATATCGTGAAACTCACTTGCATATTTGCCTTGTAGGTTAGCTGATTCGAAGCATTGTATCGTTTCGCTTGTCGAATACTCCTCACTAAACTATACTTTTCGAGATGGTTTTTGGTTGTAAGTGGAACTATGCTTTTTGTTAGTTTGGGGTCCGCTATGTTTTGGGTTTAAGTTTATTGACAATATTTTGTTCTCATTTTTCTGGTGAGCATCCTGGCGTTGTGGTACAGTTGAAGCTTAGACTAGCTCTTTGATAGGAATGATTGTTTGTGTGAATGGTTCTTGCTTTGTGTAATGATTGACTATATCTTTGACATCGTTACGGTACACTCTTTTCCTCCTATTAGATATAGGGAGATTTTAATGATGTTCATGTATATGTTTTATTTTATATGCAATTTCGATTAATAACATACAAAACATCTCTTTAAAAAATAATAAAGACTTATTTTAAAGATAAAATATATGCTCCATCCTCATATTTAATTCTAGTTTAATGGTTTGGTTTGGTTGACAAAAAAAATTAGGAAAAAATATATAACTGAGTCAATTTAGGATCAAAAATACTTTTAACCCTTTGGTTTGGAACATATTGGGATAAAATTAAATCATATAAAATTCGAATTCAAGTCAAGAGAATCTAAAATCGATCCATCCCATCTTATTGCCATTGCTAAATCGGGCATCTATCAAAAGGTTTGATCTGCACAACTCATGCATATATATTTTGTTGACCCGGCATGTAACCTTTTGAAGGGACAGTTACATAAAGCTTGTGGACTCGATTTGAACGGCATTTGTGGTGAGGTGAGCTCACACCCTAATCCATAACTGATATGATACAGCTGGGGGTTTCTGTAGGTTTAATCAGTCATGGTTTGCACGGCATGTATACGCATCGTCTAGACGCGCAATTAAGCTGTTGATACTTAACAGTTCCTTTTATTTATTTGTTACGTCCCTTCCTTGTCCCGGGATCAAAAATGGGGTCGTCCGCAATCAACGCTTATGAATCTCTCAAATTTCATACTCCTTACTCTGCCTGGACCTTGAGGTTTTGTAGACTTTTAACACTTAGTTTTTCTTCTTCTTCTTAGTTTGCAACGAAAGTTTACTGTTATAATCAACGTAATATACCATTTAAGCTAGCAGAATTATGAAACTAGATGATGAGACTTGAGACTCAGATTTCAAAACTTTCAAACCTTCATCATTAATAATTAAATTTAGGAGTCCATCAACATATTTACAAAATTGGAATACAATCTATTATTTAATTAAATTTAAGTTTTTATCTATTATTTACTAAATTGAAAGAATTTAGTCTGAACGAGGAAAGAGATTAAGGTTGATCAGAAAATTACTAAATATTGATTAGAGGATTAATAATCTTAAAGTGCGAAACTAAAACGAGGAGAGTAAATAATTGATATTCTTTGAATATCCAGCATATGGTTGGTTGCATTGACAATGTCATTTCTTGAGCACTGACACGAGTGTCTTGTCCCAGAAAAATTATTATTGTTTATTATTATAAAAAATAAAAAAAATAGATGATATAAGAAACCAAGCCAAATTCATAAAATTTGAACTTTCCTGGGTCTGAAAAAGTAACACGTGACCCACGTAGTCAGGTAAGTGCATTTGCATGTGCTTAATTCAATGAGCAGAGTTAATTAATTAGCGAAAGCGAAGAGCCGAAACAAATAGATACGGATGATATCTTGGTTTGAAAATGAGGGCAGAAATGAAGCCAACCAAATTTGACATCAAGATTAGATCCCTTTTGTCCACTGCTTTTGAGACCATGCATGCATATATATATCTTACCTATCTTTTCCCATTACCCCTCCACTTTCAGCCCTACAACAAAACTCTACCAATGCCATCACCGGCACTATTTACATGAATTTTTTACATAAAAAATGTGGTTAAAGCTTATCTTGTGTCATTTTGAAGCAATGAGAAAAGGACCCACAAATTTTACAGCAAAAAAGAAAAGAAAAAGCTTTAGTTGGATGATGATAAGTCATCAATGTAGAACATCTGCCTTTACTTGTCACCACTCAGAATTTTACTTATTATTCTTTCATTTCCTTTGTCTCGCGTCGCGTGTGAACCACCGATTTCACATTCTTCAATCGCTTTATTTGATTTCTTTGTTTTTAGACAATGATCATCATTTCTTCATGTTGAAATCGTTTCATTAAACTGAAGAGAAAATTGATATTATTATTATTTTTTTGATGTAAACCCCCAAACAGTGATACAACTAGCTAATTACTGCTAATTTTACACAAACAAACCATTGGCAATGGCTCGATTAGAATCGAAACGTGTTGTTTCGTACACGGGCAGCTCTTCTCGATACCTTTCGATACCGATAGCTGACAGATTATTCAATTCAAAGAGATCGGAACTTGCATAACTAGCGGTGTCTTCGTCGTCGTCGTCATCGTCGGTAGATACTGCATTGACGTTGCAGATACCTCCCAGATCATACTCGTCCTTCGTTTTATGGTAACTATTTAAAAGCTCCTTTGCAGCTTCTACAACTCGGCGGTTTTCTTCCATGATCCGGAACTCAAACTCTTTGCTTGTCGGCTTTGACCCGACCAACGATTGAATTTGACGATCATTTTCACGGCAGTTGTTCTCGTCGTCTAGAATAACTTCGTTAACCGGACAAAACCTGACCGACCTTTTGGTCCCGTTCCCTCTTGAAGATGGAGTCTTGCTCAGACAAGATCTTGAGAACGAGGAAGCCGAAGAACACGTCGGTGTTGACTGGTCGGATTTTGACGATGAAATCTTTGTCTTCTTCGTATTCCCTGCTGTGAAAAGTGAGTTGAGGAAGCTTGCAAGTTTACCACCTGGAGAGATGGGCTGCTTGACCTTTTTGAGGTCACTGTAAATCTTCGAGGCCTTGGATTTTGTTCTCACGGAACCACCTTCATGCTTCTGCTTTTGCCGTGTGGTGCCGTCGAAACTGTTTTCGGCTTCAGGCTGCCGAGATGAGACGCCGGTCCGTATAGGCTTAGGCCTATGAGTGGTGTAATGGCTTGATGCTGAAGACGATGACCTTGATTTTGCACCGTAAAATGAATCTGTCTCGGAGGATGAAAACCCACCACCGGAGCTAGAATCAGAAGAGCTGGAACCGGAATTGAACAACATTGGATCAAAGTCATTTCGGAAGTTTCTTTGAGAATCCGCAACGGGTTTTCTTCTAATGAAAACAATATTATTATCATCAGCCTTCTTTTCCATCCATTTCTCGATCATGCAAGCACGTTGAAGGCTCGTCGTTTCTTCTTTCTTGAACGAATGCTTCTTCGCCATGGCAGCCTCCCTGTAGAAAATCAGCTCTTCTTTTGCTTTACCACCGTTGGGTTCATCAATGGAACGGTAGATAGTATCGAGAAGAGTTGAAGAGAAAGAAGGGTTTTCTCTCCTGTACCGATGCTGTTCTGGCAATTTAACCCACGTATCCATATGGCTTTATAGAGAGAAAATTTAGAGAATAGATCAGTAGGATTTGAATGATATTGTCTGGTTCAGAGGTTGTCAGGAAGCTGAAAGAGAAAGAGATTATTAACGGACATGATTAATCATGTGAAAGAAACGAGGAGGGACATTTTGAAGACAAAAACTGGCTCGCCCTCTCTCACTTTCTCTGCCTTTTTTATGGCTCAAAGTAGACATTTTCATTGTGGGTTGTTGATGGCTGCCAGAGGAAAGAGAGAGTAATGAAAGCCAAAATCCACGCCTCGAGTAGTAATCCAGACGATGATGATTTAAGAGAGAATATCTACAAGAGATCTATAAAGCCCTAAGTTCACTTGGGCAAGTGGGTCCTACCCGAAACCATTGCCTGCCAGGTGGATTTATGATGTGCCAAATGTATTACACCCACCTTATTTGTCTGTGCACTTTTCAAAAACAGATCTCTTTATAATTAAAATTAAGTGACAAACTGAATATAGTTTAAAAACCGATTTTTCTATTAAACTTTTCTTAAAAGATGATACGGTAATTGGTAAGCCCATTTATGTAGCAAATCGGCAATATAATTGTATATGATAAACGGTCATTAATGAACATAAAATCACAATTAATTAGTTTGCCATGATTTACTAACATGATCACCATCTTTTAATGACCCTTAAGCAGTAAACAAGGATCAGAATCATGGAGTTTAACAATAATTGACGAACATACAGTCCATGGCATCAGAAATCAAGCAAAATTACATGACATTGGTTTGCTTTTCTTTTATGTTATTAGTAAATTTTATCTTACAATAAGAGGGTTATTTTTAAAATTGTCACCATTTGTCCTATACGCTATGGCACCCTTGGCCCTCTTTATGCAATAAATTTTCAGCATGATCATTTCCTAATATATACCCCATCAGATTTCACCATAGCCACCCTCAACCAACGTAATATATACGAACGAATGCATATATCTATGTTAAAGAGAGAATCTATAAAATTTTAAGGGAAATAAATTTATACAATTTTAAGGAATGAAAATATATTTTTGATCAAAAATATAAATAGAATATCTAAAATATATAAAAAAAATTGAAAATGTTAAGGAGGCAATTATCTTCACTCGCTTTAACTACCGGGGCTAACCTAATATATAGTCACTCATACACTGCAGACACAACTACTTGAACCCAAGACTTCAAGATATAGCATCAATCACTTGAACCTAAGACTTCAAGAGACAACATCACTCTTTCTAGTAATTGAGGGTACTTTATGAGTTCTGTCGTACACACGCCTGACATACTTGGTACCCGAACTCGAGACCTCAAAAAAAATAACAATTATTTTACCGTCGAGATTGCTTGTTAGAGTATGTCGTATATATCTTTTTAAATAAGAGGCTCGATGATGAAAATAATAATAATCTAAATCAAGAGACGAGCATGTTGGTTGTGGGGATGGTGGTTATTTGAACAATGATGACGCTCGTGGCTCCTAAATTTTATGAGAACTTAGGATGCTATGCTTAAAAATAGGGCAAATGCAATGTGAATTTCATAAAGAATCGATTTATATAATCATTATTTTTTTTAAAAAATTATCATTCGCCAAATATTGGATTAAATCTTAGAGCCTCTAATTAATTATTTTCTTCAAACTCTTTTTTAAATGAATTGAAAAACCTAAAAACGGGTGAAGAAAGAAGATTTTTTTTTCTTTTCTTTTTAAAAAAAGAAAGGTTGGAAAGAAAGCAACCGTTTGTCTCACGATGGGCATTCCCCAAGTAGAGTTCTTCCCTTCAAACTCACGAAATTTCATCTTTCATTATTATAGGATTCGATAGGATTTTTTTTCATGTATATTTGATATAAAGTATTTATGGATTAATGAGACTTTATATGGGATAAAATAAGGGACAAACCAGCCGAAGGAAGGTTTAGTGTGCTAGGGCTTGTGCATAAAAGAAAGGGTAAACTACACAAATGGTTATTAATGTTTGAGTAAATTTTCGTATTTCCCATTAAAATTTCAAAAGTAACAAATGGATAACTAACGTTATCAAATAAGTAACATCATAGTCTTAAAAGGTATACACCACAAAGTATATCGCCATTGTCGGCGTCTGTCGTAATATGGTCCTTGTACTTATTTATTAATATCAAATACGTAAAATTAAATTTTAATTAATGATTAATTTTAAATAAATCCTTATACTTTTTAATATTTACATAATAAGGATAAATTTGCTTGTGATATGTTTCGATACGTCACTTTAGTAGTACGTTACGGTATGAGACGTGCGCTATAGACTCTTCCTATATATACATATGTCGAAAGATGCTAAGATTCCAAAATCATTACATATTCAAAATATCATTTGTGGAAAGTATGGAAGAGGTGAAATGGCTTTGATATGTCGGTTGATGCAAAGATTCGACATTTTTAATTGGTTTTCTGGTTTGATTCCATGGTTCCGGTGAATGGTATATATATATTTTTTTATGGAAATACGCATTCTTTGTTTTAAGTATGGTCAAAATAAGAGTGAGGTTCTCTATTTTTCTTCTTCCTGCCTTGGGAGAGCAATATTTTTGGTAAATAAATTAAACAATTAATATGGAAGCAAAAGAAGAAACCCAAAAGGTTTGATCCTTGATTGTGTTTTTGGGTTCTGCACAATCCTCACCCGCCTCCCATTTTTCCATTTTTTGTACGGGAGTAAAACCTACTTTATAAAAAAAGTTATTGCACTTCTTTGAAAGCCTTGAAATTTTGTCTTTTATGTCGTCATTTTTATTTTATTTTCGTTTCAATCTGTTTCCTTTTAACCTCATTGGCGGATACACTCACGATTGAGGGTGGACATTGAAATCTAGATTTTATTCGATTAGTCACTTGTTTTATAGATGGTGTCTACCTTGAAATCTAAATTTTCTTCGATTAATGACCCATTTATTGATGATTTCTATTTTGAAATACTTACCTCTTATAAAAATTTTATACCGTTAACATATATATGCCCACCCTCAAATATTTTTCTAGATTCGCCACTGTTTAACCTTGTTTTTATGTTGAAGGCTAACCGTGGAGGATTTAATGGTGCAAACATGCATGGGGTGTTAACAGGAGCAAGAGGACCATTCACTCAACCTCAATGGATGGAGCTGGAACACCAGGCTTTGATCTACAAATATATAACTTCTAACGTGCCTGTATCATCTAATCTTCTCATTCTTATGGGAGGAGGAGGAGAGTCAAATGGTCAGTCAAACATGTTGAGTAAATTGATTTAATGTACCACGTTATCATTCCGTTACTGTACTAATGGTCATTAACGGCGAGTGACCGGCTTGTTATAAATCGATAATGTTAATGATCAATTTGTAACGTTTTAAACTTCAGTAGGGAAAATAAAAACATACTCAAACATTAGTGATCATTTGTGTAGTTTACCCTAAAAGAAAAAGGTGGAGAGATTCCTTGGTGGGGGTGCTGATTTGATTTGTGATATACATAATGAAAGAAGAGAGATTCCATTTGGATGAATGAATAGCACTGATGTTTGGTGACACGAAATTTCGACTATATTTCCACTGATACACAATCTAAAATTGAAAAAAGTTTGTTCCCACTGCCATCATCGCACCAAAGAATTCAACCCCCGGTGGATGTAGACTCCAGCTTCCACCATCCCCTTAGATTTTACATCACAGAATCAATCAAACCGTGCCTGCCTGTATATCTCATAATTAACGTGCTAAACCCTAATTGTCATGAAGTGATATAAGGTATAGCCTAGGGTTATAGGTAGTTTAAATCAAAAGCATTTAACAAGGTCAGAACAGTTAAGATCAGGAAAGCAGATGACATTAAAAGCATGAAACTATATCTCAAAAAACAAGATGGTAAGCAAAGAGAAGAATTTGAAACCAGAGGACATTGGTAGTACATAAAGCATAAAGGAAAGATTATTCCTGCAGGAGAATTTTAGATAAAGAAAAAGAAGTGGGGTTTGGTGCTTAGTATTTTTAAGGGATGGAACGAACCGTGTAACCCAACCGAGCTGAATGGAAAAGAAAAAGAAGTGCATCAAACATAGAAAGGGAAATGTGTTGGAGATCCCGAGGGAGAAAGCACCTACTGGCCTTGCTTTCCCTTTTTCCTTCCCTCTAAACATTAAGAATGAAGATCGCCTCTCAAAGGCACATGCGTGGATCCACCACTGCCCGGTACGGTCAATGAATTATGAAATGGATGTCAGAGATAAACCTTAGGATGAATGAGGATAGTGAGTCATAACTGATAACTTCTGCTTTGCTATGTTTATTCAGTTAAGCATCCGCATATATCCCACAAAACTAAATCAAACCCATTTTAGAAGGTAGATTAAGCTAGTAGAATCCGCTTCTTTTATTATTACTTAATATAACCTATTTAATTACCCAGTCACTCTTGTATTGATACTTATATAACCAAACGAGATTTAAGTTTAATGTAAAAGAAATATGTAAAAAATATGATAAATGATCAACTTAAAAAAATATTTTAAAATTAGATATGGTTTTATTAAAACAATAATTGAGTGACTAAAATAAAAAAAATTATGAGGTACTAAATAAGTAATAATCCTAAAAAAAATTATTCGAAAACTGTACACAAGACTCGAGAATTCTTTTATAAATACTTTATCGTATCATTCCACCTATAATCTTTTAGTGATTTAATTTTTCTAAATATATGCTTTTAAAATAAAAAGCTTTCATCGTCCATATTATGCATATAAACACAATCAAGAAAAAATATTAATTATATGGTAATTGTCTCTAATGGCATGTTTTCTGTCTTTGTAGCAGGTTGGATTTGACATCGTCACGACTAATCAAGATATCTTTTATTTGTTATTACGTTGATCTTCTTTGCTTTGGACCATCGAATTAGAGTTGGATATGCAATTTGAAGTTTATCGGTGGTCTTTCAATAGCATATCCCCTTTTGTGGTTCGTTTGCCGATGTGGTTATTTGAGTTTATTTGATTAGATTTTTTTAACATTTTTCTTGTGTGATCTTAAGTTGCTAGTTTTCTTGTGATTAGAAAAATGTCATTATATGTTTAGTTTTCGGTTATGATCGTAAACCTTTATTATCATTTGAATATTTTCTATTTTTAATAAAATTAGTAACCTCTGTTTTGAAAATCGGATCGGCCGGTTCAACCGGGAACTGTTGCTTAATCCGGTTCAATCTAAACCGGTTAAACCGCTACTAGTGAACCGGCCAGAACCGCTGAACCGTTCGAACCGAACCGGCTGAAAACCGGAAAAAACAGGGAAAAACCAGAAATTTTTTTTTAAAAAAAAAATTAAACCAAACAACGTCGTTTGTTAAACGAGCCAAGTCGAACTTGAGTATTGCTGAGCTCGACTCGAACTTGAAAACTTTAAAAGTAAGCTCAACTCAACTAAAACTCATAAGCTACAAATTATCAAGTTCAACTCAAACTCGAAATATAATATTGAAACTTGAACTCAAAAAGGCTTGAACTAAAAAAAATTTAGAAGCTCGATTGAAGCCTAAAATTCGAGCTTGATTGAAGTGAAAGAATAGTTCACTCAATGCTCACCAAAAGGCTCCATGATTTTGAATGACAAATTACCTCTATTATTTATAGAAGTTAGTTGTGATGATCTTCTATGTTTCTTAGCAATGTGAGATTGTTTTGTTCTCATATTTTTTACTCTTTAGACTTTTGGGATGCTCTTCTATGTTTCTTAGCCATGTGGGATTGTTTTTAAAAAAAAAATTAAACCAAACAATATCATTTTGTTATGATTTTTTTAACCCCAAATTTATTTTTTAATTATAGTTATATAATTATATTTATTATTTAATATGTTTTACCTTAAATATTATGTTGTAGTTAATTTGAATCATTTTGTTTCACTTGATTTTATGGTTTTTAACTTATATATGTTATGACTTGCTTTGAATATGACTTGTGTTATAAAAAATTATTCTTTATTAAATATTTTTGGTATTTTTATTTAATTTTTTAAATAATTATGACGTCGTCCGATTCTTCCGACCGGTCGGACCGATTCGACCGGTTGAACCAGTGAACTAGTAACATGACCGATTCGCTAACCGGTCCGGTTCTGAAAACCATGTTAGTAACTCCTCTAATAAAAAGTTAATCATATGGTCATTCAGTAAAATGCAATTTTTAAAATATATTTACCTTAAAGAATAAAACGTTTGGGGCCCATAAAATACGTTGTTCCGTGGATCATAGGCCCATCAAGAACCTCCTAATCCGTATCAAAGTGGGGTGAAACAAACTGTAAAGTGAGACGAGATGAGTTCGTATACAGTTGGATACTGAAAATGAACCTAAATAAATAAATAAGTCTTTGATCATCATTTTCAATTTGTCAAACCCCAAAGCACCCATCTGACCAAATATGGAGGAAAACAAAGAAGAAAGATTATGAAAGTGGAAATTTTCATCATTAGAATTTTGGTGCTTGCCACTACGAACATATTTTAGGACATATTTATATATTATCGATCCTGGTTCAGAGATTATGTTTATTTCCAAGTTGCTTGCACACTGATATTTCCGAAAGAAGATCGGCTATAAGCATGTGCTAAATTATGTTCATCGTGGCAAGAACCAAAATTCTACAAGAAAAAAATCACCTCATATGGTCTCTTTCTCTTCACAGAGTTTGTACGTACATGTAATAGACTTTGTGCTTAGTTGTGTCTCAGGCACACAGAACTTGTCTAAACACCAATGGTAAAAGAAAGGCGAGACAAACTTGCAAATGCCATTGTTTTGCTGTTATGCCTCACAAGTATTGCTCTTGTATTCTGGCTCGGTTTTTTTCCCACCACATCCTCGCATGCATTTCTCCGAACCTTTCTCGGCTGCATCATACGTACAAAGAAACATAAATAATTGTTATCGCCAACGATTCGAATTAGGACCGTTAGGTGTTTGGATCATTCATTGACTCCATATGCACTAGGGACCCCCACTGGGACAAACTAAATCATGTACGGTAATGGAATTGTTTGAAGCTAACTTAATGGCCAAGACAGAAAATAACCATTTGGCTTTTGTTCCCATATTCTAATGACACGAACCAAGGAAATGCTGTCACCTTGATGGTTGTTATTCTAATATGTTGACAGTTTGACCTATAATCTATCTATGTCAAATAAATTGCATACCTGAATCGGACACGTCTAAGCTCCCGAGTTCCGCCTGGAAGTGCTCTAATAGTGATGTAAACCCCCGGTTCATCCTGTTCAACCCATTCAGTTTCCATGTCACTGGCATTACTGACTGAGACCTCTCCAGATCGATCTGCCTCCCTTGATGAACTAGTCCTAACAGAGCCATCGATCGATGAAGTCTCAATCTTGACTCCACTAATATTGCTGGAGAGTTTTGGTGTAGAAGCTAGTGCAGCTGAGTCGTAATATTGACGCGATTGCATTGGGTGACGATCCGGGGAATCTGATAACAAATAGCCCATTCCTGTTGGCCAGATAACGTTGTTGGGGCGTTCTTGGTTCGGAGGCAAAGTCACAGGACTGTCCTTTGCAGATTCAGTTCTTGATACCTGGAAGGGAGAGATAAAACTAACTTCAAAAAATAAATACATATGGACCTGCTAATTATAAAGATGGAGATGCATGTTGGTCTTGGAATGAAAATGAATGGATACAATCCTCTTACAAAGGGACGTGGCTTACTTTATCTTCAGATACAGGCGGCGTTGGAAGTGCTTGACGATTAAAGTGTTGAACATTGTACAGTTCCATGACCTTATCATAGTTCTCTGCCCACCACCTTTGAGCTTTCCATTTATCAAACATTTCACGGCTGAATAATTAACAAGAATAAAAGACAGATTAGCACTTCAAGCAATAAACTAAACTATGCCCTTTGATAATTAAACTTGAACATACAAAAGAGATGTTTAATAAACAGAATTACAGAAGCCTAGGGCCATATGTACGCTTGACCGCATTAACAAGGCAAATAAGAACATCAGTAGGCATTCAAAATGTTATCAAGAAGAACCAGGTGATTGAACAGCAAAGCCATACATGTTTAAGTTCCCAACTGATGACATAAATGCTAAAATGCTCTTTGTGCTTATACTGTCCAAATATAGTTTCTATATATACAATAATTATCAGAAGTAAATATCCCATCCTAATCAGCATATAAAAGGTGGGGTCTATCAAAAAACACCGCACAGTTTTTGTTGATCCTAATAAATGTTCTTTTATCCTCCAAATCACCATGTGAAGAATCATTACTTTAGCCCATTAGGGTTACAATTGCTGAACAGTCTAAAGAAAGATCACAAAGAACATAGTTAACTTTGGCACATATCAAGATTAAGACCAAGTGACCAACTGCCCAAGCAGTACAAAACACAACCTGATCAACTAGTTTAACCATCCAGCTCAGTTTGAGCTTATTTAGGCAGGGAACAGATGACTTATTGTCCTTTATCATTGCATAATTTGCCGGAAATGCAAAGCGAAAGCTTTAATGCCAAATGGGTCAATCCATAAGAGACCCACATATGGGTCCACTTCAATGATGCTAAAATGGATTTTCACTCAAGAAACCTCACATGAAAATTTAGTGTGATACTCGCAATTAAAATGACAAGGGATAACGTCAAGATGTCCCAGCTCTAATTACCAGCAGGGATGGGGTATAGACCAAGGGGAGGGGTGGTCACACCTCAAATTCACATATAATTTAAGTATTTTTTATTAATAATTTATTTTCGACCCTAAAATTTATAAGTTCACCTTTTAGAGCATAAAATCATGTGTTTTATGATTACTAGACGCTGCCCCTAACCACATGAAATGACAATCCAACAACTTGAAACCTTCAATATCAAACTCAAGAGCAAAGAATGCATCCAAACTACAAGTCGACAATTTCAAAAGAAAACGATAATGACACTTCAACAACCTGATATTTGATAGACAGGAAAAGTTCAAACCACAGAGGGCGATGCAAATATGGCCACAATTTCAATAACAAAAATCAAAATCATGTGACTGCATTCAAACAAACGAGAACCTTCACTGTCATGTATGGCAATAACACAAGTACCTGAATCGAATCCGTTTCAGGTCATTCCCTCCTTCAGGCAGTGACACAAAAGTGATTAAGACACCAGGCTCCACTTGTGCAACCCATTCCTTAGGCTCATCTTCCTCCATGAAAACCGCTGATTCTGTACGGCCACTAACGGAAACAGGGGTACCTTCCCCGCTGGAAAGTCCTTTTAGTCTTGATTCCTTCTCTTTGCCCCAACTCCCGGGCGTGGAATTGGAGCTTCCTCTTCTACGGTAGGGGCAATGGATGCGTGCTGAGTTAGAGGCAGCATCAGTGTCTGCATAGTTCTTATGGTCATTGTTTGATGAACCTGAACAAGGCTTGCAGCTTTTATAAGCTCCTGATGCTTTCAATGCAATGTCCTTGATCTGAAATTTATATAAAAAAAGAAAAAAATTACGTGTCGCTTAAAGTCCTCTGTTGGAAGGGAGCAAAATCAACTAGAAAACAAAACAAACTCAGGGTGTGGAAGAGAAACTCGATAAAGATTTAAGAAATGCGGCTGATTCAGGACTGCTATGTTTGTTTCCTAAGAAAATGGAAAGCAACAGAACAGAAAAAAGTTCCCAGCTATTTTTCCCATAAGAAATTAAATAAAAAAGAAAATCAAGTGAAATTATAACCATCATCTTTTTACCAGCTTCTTAACCGTTGAAAAATTCACAGGACTCGAAGTACTTCAAATATTTGTAGTCATTTTTTCCGCATTTTCTCAGAAAACAAACACGAAAGCATTTGCAAATTTCTACAGGCTTTATATGTGACAAGTAATAACAATACCTGAGAAGTGAGGGCCTTAATTGTTTGTCTAGTCCTAGGAGTTTCCACAGTATCTTCATCCTGATGGTGCCCTATAGATCCATTGTTATTATTTAACTCCTTTGAACAAGCTATGCACGTTAACATATTCCCTCCTCTCTCTCTTCTTTTCAACCCCTTCCCCAGTCCCCCAAAAAAAAAACTCAGATCAGATTCAACAACCAAATTTCAAAAGAAAAATGTATAAGGTAGCTATGTCAGGCAGTGAAGGAAACATGGATTGTGGTTTTTCATAGTGAATAAAAAAGGCAGAAACAAAAAACAAGAAGAATCAAAGAGATCCCTTGGGGTTGACAGGTAGAAGTAGAAGAAGGAATGACGCCATTAATGGAGGAAGGAAAAAGGACATGGTTTCTCTTTGGGATGGAAATGAAATAACGAGCTACAAATGCTATGTTTCTTTGGTTCTGCCTCTGCTGCTTGCTTGTCTCAAGAAAATAATAATACGTGTGTCTGCATTTAGGATTCTTTGAGTTTTCTCTCTCTTTTTTCCATACTGTACTGCCACTGGATCTTTTCTGAAGATGTCTCCAGATTTGGCTTAATACGGCAAGCTGTACCAAACCATTTTTGTAGCTCTCTCTCTCTAGCAATATTGCAGTACTGGTGCCTTTAATGCATTTATATTTTATTTATAATCGCTCTCTGGTAGTATTAGTTTTAGATAAAAGATTAAAAATTTTAAAACTATCAACAAAAAAAGAATAATTAAAAACATTTATTATGTTATCGTTTTATGGACGTACTGTTCACCTCCCAATATTTAATTCGTATGGATCTCTTATGTCAAGAAATCAAATAATTAATAATAAAGAAAGAGGGCAAGTACTCTAGTGCAGAAAGCCGATTCAGTTTTTTCAACTTTTAAGTGAAAACAGGGGAAGACCATTTTTAGCTGAGAGGAGGCGGAGAGGGACCGCCGTAAGCTCGTAACCACGGTTTTTTATAATGGGGGTTGGGGTGGGGGTGTCGCCACCCTGTGGACATTGGACCCAGATGGCCATATCATAGCAGTTTAGAACAAATCGCCACCGAGATTGGGTTAGAATAAAAAGAAAAAGGTTAAAAAACTAAAAAGAGAGGCCTAAGGCAGCCACCCACCACGAGTACTACTGCATGCAGTTGCAGGTGGGACTAAAGGACAGGGATCTGTGGGGATAAGCTAACCCCAAAAGAAAAAGCTTACCATCTTCATTTTTACCCGGCCTGAATTACTGATCCATATTGAGCTTTTTGTGTGCATGTGTGTTACCTTTTATTTATTCTCTATTCTGATTCTAAAGCTCTCGCTTATGGCCGACATCTGTCATTCTTGACGTGAAATTTTGGGTCTTTTTTCCGTTACTGTTTTCCTTGAGGAAATTGCAAAATTAGTATAATAATAAATCTCTTTGGACAACTCGGTTTATATTATTGATACAATACTTTTATTTTCTTAATTTTATTTATTATATTAACTTTATTTTAATTTTAAAAATTAACATACATCTTTACACATTATTTACTAAAAATATATATAAAAATTCAAATAAGTGATTAAAAAAATCCTAGTATTAACTTTATGTTTCTCCTTTATATTAAGGGTAAATTACGCATCTAGTACCTAAACTATCAGTTTTGATCTGTTTTAGACTTTTTGTACCTAAATTTTTAATTTTTTTAAAAATCATACCTAAAATTTTGTTTTTATTTCATTTTAGTACCTCATCGTTAAAAAATTTAGTTTTTGTTTTATTTTAATACTCTCTTACAAAATTTAACATTATGTTTTGAAAAAAAAATGAAAGTTTATGTACTAAAACGGATAAATATTGATACTTTATGTACTAAACACATTAAGTTTTTAAATGTGGGTACTAAAATGAAATGAAAACTAAACGTTAAGTATGCTTTTGAAAAAAATTAAAAGTTTAAGTATTAAAACGGACCAAAATTAATAATTTATGTACTAAATGCATAGTTTACCCTTATATTAGTTAAGCGCTTAAAAGAAAAAATTGATGATTTTCGTCTTTATTCATCCTCTACCAAACTTCTTGTGATTGGTGAAGTACAATCTCTCTTCAGTTTGCATGTGATGGAACTATTTAAGGTTTTATTTTTATATTATATAAAGAGAGTAATTAGGTTGACCTAATCATCACATGCATGGTAAATGCCTTCCCAAAGCTAACAATGCGGTGGTGCATCTCTCTCTCTCTCTCTTGCGCCTATTGCAACTTCAAGTTTTCTATTAATTTTAATTTATCGAGTTTTAGATTATACCCATCAGTTTACCGATAAAAATAAACAAACGGATTAAATAAAGAATTAATGATTATTTTGAATTTAATATATAATGTAAAGTTAAAAAAGCTTTTAATAAGGTTTAAACTTTTATTATGATGTGATATTTTAATTGGGAGAGGAAGGTGCACTTTTTCATCGATAAATGTCATTTTCAAGGCATGGGTTAAAAGAGTGCCTTGAATTTTGCAACAATGAGAAGGATGTGGCCCAAGCGAGTCATCAATTCGGTGCTTTATTTCATTATTTTATTTTCTTTTGGGTTAATATGGATTTCTCCTTCCAGAATCTGTTTTCTTTTGAGTACTTGTGTGCGTTTTCTTGTTGCAGTAGGGATTGAACGCTCTATTTGTTGAATTTTCATTTACTTCTTCGTGATTTATATTTTATTTATTTATTTTAATTAATTTATGGTTGATAAAAATATCAAATTGGTCCCTCTTTTTTCTTTTCACCTGTTTGTGAAACTATATTCATTGGGGTTGTTTCCTCACTGATTTTGGTGGCAGATCAATGGCTCCGCATAAAAAGGAAAATGCCGTCTCTCTTGCCGACTAACCATCAAAACATCTGTCCTTTTTAACATATATAAGCCAAAATGAAAACTGTGTTACATTAATGACCTTGAACCAACAAGGAAAACAACACATTTCAATATCAAGCTATCAACAAGTCAGATGAAAAGAAAAAAGCAACTACTACTGTTCCACTATTCAATCCATCCAGAGATGCACAAACCCATGTTTCTTTTTGTCCTCATCTGTCGGGTAGTTTTAGGTGTGGTAGTTTAATTTAAAATATCATAAATAATATAATATTTTAAGTTGTGTGTAACTTAAAAGATCATATTTTTTAACATTTTAATTTGTAACTTAAAATATGTTTGTAACTAAAAAAAATAAAAATAATTAACATTTTAGATTACGCACAACTTAAAATATTATGTTGTTTATAATATTTTATGTCGCACTTTATATTAATCTTATAATAAGTGGTTGTACAATATAATTCTCCTTTATCTGTTCGAATTTATTGACTTGTGTTTTTGTTAGGTTAAAATTACTATAACAGTACATGCACTATACCTTAAATTGTATTTTGATCCTAAATTATAAGAGAACTAGAAAAGCACTATGATGGCAATGTTGTTCTTTTTGGAGACAACCCTTAAATCATCATTCTTTGTTTTTTCAAAGTTGAAAAAAAAGCTCAAAAGTTCCTTAACAACGAGGTTTTTTCACAAGAACATTAATCTATACAACATACTTCTGCTTAGGTTAGGTATGCAATGGCTTTTTTCACCTTATCCAACAATGTTTACTGCTATAATTAATGCATGCTCCAACACTTGTAAAGCGAAGCAGTAAAGTAGCTCAGATCACTGTTTGTTGATCTGCATGGATCTCTTTTACTTTGGAAAACTTTTAGATCGAAACATATGCTTTGCTTGCAGCGTGCGATCAAATAATGCAGAATTTCGAGGTTTTTTTTTCAAGTACAACAAGGATTTGCACTTTCTGTTTTTCATAAAGACCATTTTGCCTTAGAGTTGAGGGTTTTGTTTGTATTTGTCACCAAAGTATTTTCAAAACAAATTAAATTATTCTATTATTAGTAACAGTGAAGAAAGAAAAGTAATGATGATGGCATGGACTATAGCAGGTGAGTAAACATTGGAGTTATTTATTATTATTTACAAAGCTTAAACTCATAAAATAATTAAAATTTTCCACCAGCGTAACACAGTCGATCAATTCCTTTGTAGGTTAGAATTATTGAAGTGATGGAAGGTTAACAAAATAACACAGTCGATCAGTTATTTGTTATGTCGTTTTTCTTATTGATGGCTTCCTTTTGTGGCAGGAGTTTGCCCACTTGGCTTGGAATAAAAAACTTCGATTGTTCTTGACCTTTTCCTTGGGGGAGGCCTCTATAAGTTGATGAAGACTCGTGTTTTACTATCTAAAGCGATTCTAGTTTATTGTGAATCAAGTTCATGATAATTAGATTTAATAAGCATGTTTAACAAATGGAGCTTCTTGTTTGTTGAAAGTAGCGATTATGTGAGGTATGGTCTGGGATTCTCTCAAACGTGGGTGTTCAAGCACTTCCCGAACCAGGTTTCACTCTCCAAAGCGGAGAAATCAAGACCATTTCCGCATCATGGGGTGGTCGCTTTTGGGATAGAAACCATTGCTCCGAGGATTCCACCGGCAAAATTTCTTGCCTCACTGGGAAAGTGAAGGGTCAGGGAATGGTGCTGCCCCGCCGGCAACGTTGCCTGAATTTACTTGGACGGTGCTGGTGGTTGGGGATGATGAAGTAAAACAAGAAAATAATTATTTTTAAAAAATTATACTATAAATTTATTTCAGCAAGAATCCGTTCAAGTGTTCTTCTTATCCCCTTATCATGACATCTTTTATATCTGTTTCTTGGGTTTAAGTGGTGGATATAGTTGATGTTCTCGTAACAAACAATTCGATGTTTATAATATTAGGCACTTACTGCTTCTTTTTCACTTAATGACTGGCTTTCGAGTTTCAATAGTCTCCTCATCCTTCTCCCACCAACCTCTAGCATAACTTATGATTTGAAGCTGCTGCATTTTGATAAGTGAAAATGGATAGGTTTCTTTAATCTGTTTCTTTAGGATTCTCATATATAGTTTCTGTTCTCAGAATGGAATTCATACTAAACTTTGTAGCCTAATTAATATATCAAAATTATGGATTCGATGGTACGAGTTATTGCGACTATAGATGACAAACTGGTGAGGAGTTCATGATGATTTTGCCTTTTATTTGGAGTATATGGTAGTTCAATTTTTGTGGTGACTCTGAGCCTGCAGGATGAGACTTCTAGTGAGCCTTGTTTTTCCACCACTTTATATATCTGTATTTAAATTTAGCTATGAACCATCAAGCCGTTTTCTATATTTGTCCCTTCTTATAAGTAGAGGTCTAATTAAATTAAAATAGGGGAAAATGATACCTAACGTACTCCTACTTTTCAGAAAAAATTAATGTGGCCCTCGTCATTTTTCACTCAATGTGACCCTCAAACTTAGAAAAATAATTCAATGTGATCCTTTGACCAACGATTTTTATCGTTGACCGTTACGATATTGATGTGACACTTCATGACGTTGATTTGGCGGTCCATGGTATTGACGTTGCAGTCCACGGTGGATGGTGATGTGGCTAATGATTTGATAGATAAACTAAATTAATTTTTTTCAAGTTTGAGGACCAAATTGATTTTTTAAAAAGTTTAAGGGCTTATTTGATTTTTTTTAAATACACATATTTTAAATCTAAAATACTACAAATATATGTTGACAGCCCTTTAGTCCGTTGATTTTTATTTTTAGCTCCTCTTAGAATTTGATTCTCACTTAAGCATTTTGTTTTTATCATTGAAAATATTAATGTCATTATTTCGGAATATATAATAATATTAGGAAATATTGTAGAGCTTAGAGTTAGTTGCAATTTTTGATACATCTAATTTTTTTTTATATTAATATGTTATAATATTAAAAAAAGATATTTATGAATTAATAAATTTATGATTAAAATAATATAGATTTAATTGAATGAGAATTATTTATAATGCACTATAAATAATTGAGAACTCATTTTATTCGTATTAGTACGAAGATGTTACTCTTATTTTTAAATGACATATTATTTATTCTCGTTTATATGATATTTTAATTTCCCCTTTTTGCTAATGTTTATTTTTTTTTAATTTTATAGAAAATATTTATTAATTTGAATTTTTATATTTGAATTTTTATTTAATAAACAATACTAATAATTATAGTATTTTTATATTTAACTTAATATTTTTATATTTCAAATTTAAAATATTTATATATTTTTTAAATTAAATAAGACCTTAAACTTTTAAAAAATCAATTTGACTTTGTTTTTTGAAAAAAATTCAATTTAACCCATAGGGCATATCATTAGCTACATCACCAACCACCATGAATTACCATATCAACACCGTGGAAGTATCATATCAGCATCGTAACATTAGATGCTTTTTCTAAGTTTAAAGGACACATTAAATTTTAAAAAATGACGACAATCACATTAATTTTTTTGTTATTGAAAATACGAGGGTTTCAGGTACTCTTTTACCTTGAATTAGTTTAACAAAATTTCAAATACCTAATCGAAGAAGCCTTGCAGTTATTTACGTTTTTCGTTTCTGATTTAATATCGAACACCAACAGTATTCAGTTTGTTGGTAGGCCACTGACGTGAGGGCGGCAAAGACTCCCTTTTAACAACATTTTAAGATCCTTTTGGCTAGTCGCGAATTTAGAAATATTTTGATGTAGAAAGTTTAAAAGCACAATTCAGGGTATAAGTATTTTATTTTGATGTAATGAAGATGTTATAGACCATTATTTTAATCAACAAGCACCTTCCTGTATTCATTCATTCTTTGTTTCACATAAAGAATCCATTAGCCGGCCTGGTAAAGGTCTAATTCTTTAATGCTGTTCATTAAGCTTATTCAGGGACTATTCCGCCGCATATTAATTTATGTCATTCTATGAAACACTTTGCATCTTACTTTACTCTTAGTCTTAGTCTTCCTCCCTTTTTCCTTATCAAATTGATTCCTCATCAGAAAAGCTCTTCTTCCATGATCTTATTTTACTATATGAAGTATGAAAGTTGCTGAAGTAGTTAGTGCATTGACATTTGTTCTTGTCAACTTGTCTTCAAGTAGCAAAAAATATTAAGAGGTTGCTGGATCTTATTTTATTCTGCTTTTTCAGACTTATTGGTTCTGCATGAAAGTGGCTTTGGTATAGATTCCGATGTTTGTGTTACTAAATCATACGCCCATGCCATGAAAAATCTATTTAAGGCACACCCTTTGTCATATATGACCAGACAAAAATGTTTCTGATTTGTTATCCATTTGTGCGATATTTGTCTTTGCACTCGCAGCAGATTCATCATGCTCAATTGATGGCTATGCTTCCTTCTCGGGTTCTGCTGCCACCGAATGTCGAAGAAGATGAACCGATTTATGTTAACGCAAAGCAGTATCATGCTATTCTCAGGAGAAGACAATATCGTGCAAAGCTCGAAGCTCAGAACAAACTCTTAAAAGTTCGAAAGGTATGTCTATTCAAGGTTTTCCTTCTTGCTGGCAGCTGCACGAGGCCTTACAAGTTACAATGGTATTTTCTAAGCTATTTTATGAATGTTTTGAAGCCATATCTGCACGAATCTCGTCATCTTCACGCGTTAAAACGAGCTAGAGCAAGGGGAGGGCAATTTCTCAACACAAAGAAACTCCAACAATCCAAGAGCATTCCGACAGGAGACATGCCCAGGTCTCCTCAGCAACATTTGTCTGCAGACATTCCAAGAACAGAAAGTCATCGCCCGGGAAATTTCAAAGATGCTGCATCGTCTACCCCTGGCACTGATGTCACGAGTGCCTCTAACAGTGATGAAATGTTTCAGCAGCCGGATTTCACGTTCTCTATCTATCCTCCTGATCATATAGGTCATGCTGGCCATCATCTTTCTGATCTCTGCCGATAGACAAGATTCTCGTCTGAGCAGTCTGATGCCGTTGTAAAATGCGGCTGCTTTGTTCCCATGGGAACTCATCCTTGGCTCTATATAAATTTGAAAAGTGAATATTTCGATTAAAAAAAACTCAAGTTTTGGTTTAAATTTTTTAGTTTAAACATATCTATTGGGGCGAGTAAGATTCTAACATGTAACAACCTTTTTGATGTTTTTTTACCATGCTAATGAAGCACAAATATATAATGAACACTACTATATTTATACCAAAACATAGGAGCCATATGGCACTCAAAAACACTTGCCATAGTACACATTAATTTCTGTTCTTGTACACACATTAAGCCATAAGAAAAATTTCATTACTACTTCCTAGCATGTCAACTATTATAGACTATTGATTTTTCGGTGATTGAGGGCAGAGAAGGGGATTATGATTTGCTCTTGAACTTCCTTTGAGCTTTCAAGTCTACAACAATTACAGATGTTGTCACCGCTACCACTTTGGATGGCCAGCATCGAAAGGTATTCGGCTGCAGCCTGCGCTGCTGGGTCGATTCCTTTGCCTCTTTCGACCAGAGACAGAACCACATTCTTTTTGTGCCAGAGCAGGATTCGACGTCGAGCCACCACACAAGCTTCTTCATTTGATATCACATCCCACAAACCATCACTGGCCAAAATCAAACATTCATGTTCTCTAGCTCGAGGAATAAACGTAACTTCCGGTTCCGGGATTATCCACGGTTTCAAATATCTATCACCTGTGAGTTAACAAACAAGATAAAGATCAAGCTTTAGCATCTTGAAATGAAACGGAAAACTTCATCCTTTGCATTTGCAGCAGCATTAAGTTTTTTATTCTTTCATCACCAGGAGAGGCGGCAGATTAGGTCAAAGTCAAGACAGAAATAAACATACCAAGGGACCTTGACATCGCAAGAACGCCAAACACACGATGTCCCTTCCATTGTATAACCTTGCCTCCCGATGCCTCAATCCTTGCATACTGGTCTTCTCTATTTGGCTGCAAACGTGATGGTTTCAATAAACAGAGAGCTTAATTTTTTATTTGGAGAAAACCCGAAGACTTTAAATTGCCTTTATGATCACTTGACAATGCCATTGCTTCTTTGCCACGGCACAAGACTGCTCATGAATCACCACAATTGGCAACAACAATATGTGATGAACAAACCAAGGCCACCACAGCAGTTGACCCTACAGTTTCAGGGGCAATGGATTCAAAACTAGCATCGGAAACATCTCCGTTGCCTCTGCTAACTTTTCCTCCAATCTAGTCGTCAACCTTTAAAAAACAACTAGTAAATGTCTTCTCCCATTGCACTTGTCAACTTTCCTTACTAGTGTCATCGCATAAATTGTCTTTAATGCTCCCGATCTCTTCTGCCAAAGCCACATGGATACGATCACGACAATAGTTTGCCAACTGCATGAGAATCCAATAAGGTGAACGAGGAATGAAAAGATCAATTGATCAAGAAATTACTACAATCATCAGAACAGAAATGTTGTCGTATGCAGTCGATCCAAATTTGCTCACGGTTGCAGTTCATAAAAAAGCGTGCAGATAGCAACTACCATTTGATTCAGAAATGTTCGAAGTTCCTTAAAATAAAGCTAAAATGCAAAACTGGATTCTTGGAAGAATGTTGTACCTGTGAGCCACCATGGCCATCATAAACACCGAAAAAGTGTCCAGTAAGGTCAGTCAGATTTTTGCTAATTCCATCGAAAACACGATCTCTAAAGAGCATTTTGATGGGAATCTTTATAAACCAAGGCATAGCAGCAACAGCATCTTCCATTTCAGTTCTTTTTCCAATAATAGATGCTGATCCCCAAAGGGGTATACAATCCAACTCAAAAACACTCCAGCTACCTCTATTGAGATTCTTTTCACTCAGAAGCTGAATTATCACTTTGGAGGCCTTAAAATCAATTCCATCAGAAATTTTTGCATCGGAACTAACTGTTGTGAGAATAGCTTCAGCTGTAGGCACCTGCTTGATGCTCAACCCTCCCAAAATAATAGCCTTAGCGAGAAATTGGCCACTTTCAATTTCCACATTTCACAAGCTTATATCAGAACCTTCAGTTAGAACCAACAACCCTTCGTTTACAATTCCATTAGTGTCCACTAAAAAAATTTCATCTTCCTCACTTTCCTGAGCCATCAGTTCACTAGCAGCAATTGATCTATTTCTGTTCTTGTGTATCATCTTCGACAAATCAGCTTCTTCCCCAACACCCTCTGACATTGCCACCACGTTAAACCCATTCTTAACGTCTTCACAATTTCCATAGCTGCTAGAAATAGATTCCTGGGAATTGACCTTTGCAGAATCAGACAACAAGTTAGCTGAATCAGTTACGAGCTTCAATGCCGCGATTTCCACATGGGCTGTGATTCCAGAGTTCTCACACATAGATTTACCTAAACTAAGGGTTACTGCTACTGCCGGGGAGATATTTTCCATCACTTAAAATCTCTAAAGACTGAACCACAATTTACCATTCATCTTCAACTATTGCCTTCCAGCAACAAACTTGGGATCAAGTCATTGGGTTCTATCAATACTTTCTCCATTGCACTGAATCTCAACGACCCTACAATCTTTCATAACAAATGTACAGAGTACTGAAGAAACAGTAAAGCACCACGATTAAAGCTTTCAGAGGGGGCACGAGTTAAATGCAAGCAGACATGAAGATATTACTAATCAGATCTGGTGAATAAGCACAATGGATCAACCCTTATATTTAATCAAAATTCAAGAAGTAATCAAAGTAATTATAAAGCAAAATATGAGAATCCAAATTTAAAGCTATATCTGTTATAAAAAAAAGTAAAAAAGTTGTCAAGAGAAAGAAACTAGGATAAAGCACAGATAATCACAGGGAAAGCCCTAAAACGGAAAACTTTTGGTACATACAATTTGAGTTTCCCCGATCTAAGGCAAACCTATCCCAGCCAAGCCAAGGGTCTCTTTCACTCTCCTTCTCCTTCCAACAAACACACCAACCCCAGAAAACAAGAACAACAAGAAGCTACCAGAATTATGTAAACTACTAAAAAAGATCCTGGGTATATACTAAAAAGTTGACCTTGAACCCTTAAACCAACGGGAAAAATATAAAATTTATTCGAAGGTATGATTAAAAGGATGCTTACCAGTATGAAATGAAGGGCCCCAAACCTTTAAAAAGATGATGAAATAAAGAAGCCTCCTCCTGTTTTTTCCCTAGATTGTTTGCTTTGTTCTGGGCTGGGGAGGCTGAGGCTTTGGCTCAGGAAGAGAGAGAAGAAAGAAAAGGAATATATGCGACAGGGGGAATGGATTTTCTTTTACCATCCAATTCCTTCAGGGACGACACGTATACATGTAATTATCTTATATCATTAATGCTTTTAAAGTTTTAGGGTAATTTACACAAATGATAATTAATATTTAAGGTTTTATTTTTACACTGATGTTTCAAAAGTCATAAATCGATCATCAACGTTATCGTTTGTTACAAATTAATAACTTAACATTAACAACCATTTACTAAACCATTTACTAGAATAACAAAATGCTAATGTCACACGTTAATATAATTTTTGGCCTCATTTGATCAAACTCTATTATTTTAACCAACTCTTCTTCTTTTTCAACCCAACCATTTTTCTTGTTCTTCAGCCCAACCAAACATGAATGCTAGTTGGGAACGATCAGATTATTCATGGTTACCTGGCTCACTAGGATTTTGCCAAGGGGATTACGAGTGAAATAACGGGTTATCGGTCGGGTCAAGAAAGTTAATAGATTAAACACTTCAAGTGAACCTCTTAGAACTTTGGCAATGGTGGGATCAAGTTTGATTGCTTGGCAGTGTTTTCTTTTGGGTCTATATTATCTACAAAAGTTTCAAAATGAATACTAACCCTCTAACGATCTAGAAAAGGAATGAAACTTTAAAAATAAAGCAAGTAAATCATATAGTTGAATTGATGATGTGAACATAGAAACTAATTATCTAGTTTGATAAGGCAACAAGCCGCAACATGTCTGGGAGGGTTGTCAATATTGGTGTGTTATTACACCATTGATCCATTTCACTTTTGTTGAGTTCCAATTTTATGATAGAGTGTTGAGGCAGTTCGGCTTCCACCAACCTATTCCACATATTCCAGATAATCATGACTCTCTACACATATTAGATAAGCGGGGTAGGCACAGTAAGGATTGAAATTTTATGATAGAGTGTTGAGGCAGTTCGGCTTCCACCAACCTATTCCACAGATTCCAGATAATCATGACGCTCTACACAAATTAGGGGTAGGCACAGTGAGGATTGGGCTGTGAGGCATGCCAACTATATCAATCTTTAGAACAACTGGGCTTCATACTTTCCAACTCTCACTCTCACTCTCACTCTCATTCAAGAAGATGACTTTGACTTTCAGAATTAGGATTACTTGAATTTTCATTGAGAGCATGGAAAGTCGTTCTTGACAACAAACACAGAAAGATGACAATAAACATAGTGGGAGTTCATTTCACCATGAAGCAGAACAAGCGGCAATGGATAATATCCCATCATAATCTGTTGGTGGTACATGATCATTTCATCAAGTGTTTGATGATTATGGTGTTACGACCTACATATCTGATATTATTCTTCATCAATCACCCTTGTTCTCTCCCATGTTTGGAGTAAAATATGATTTTTATCATATGACATATATGATGTCAAATACGAATATTTGTCATCCTATGGGATAACAGAGTGGTGGTGAACTTTACAACACCGGATTATATGCCCTTGGTGAATGAACATGTTGATTATGATGAACAAACTCCTGAACAACCGCAACGTCCACAACGAAATCGACGTGCTCCTCGACATTATAATTCAACAATACCCCGACACTGACAAGAGTTGTAAACGCTTTATATGTTTGAATTGATAAATTTTAAATTGAAACTAAGATTAATATCCATCAC